CTGGCACTTGCTGCACAAGCCTGAGCACGTTGCCCTCAACAGTCTGTACGAGAGAAGGAGCAATAGATGTGGTCGATTGAATCACAACCCACAAATCGCGTACAAATCTCTCTCTCTCTCTCTCTCTCTCTCTCCCTCTTGTGGGGGCGTGCGCGCGCGCGTGTCTTTTTGTTTTGCGATAAAGTTTCAACCGGTACATATTGCACTGCCCTTTCTTGCACGACAAGGCGCACGGGAGAGAGAGAGATAGGGGAAGTGAAAGAGAGGCAGCGAGAGATGAACTGACGCAAAGAAGTGACACATATAGCACAAACAAGTTATGATCGTATATGTCGGATACATCCGTTATACAAGCCCGAGCACGTTTCCCTAATGTTTCATCCGCCACATTAGGGAAACGTGCTCTGATACTTATTCCACTGCATTTCCTTTCATGACAAGACATAACTGCATGCGCGCGCGCGAGAGAGAGAAAGAGAGAGAGAGAGAGAGAGAGAGAGAGAGAGAGAGAGAGAGAGAGAGAGAGAGAGAGAGAGAGAGAGAGAGAGATCTATCCTCTTCATATTCTTGCCGGTGGCGGATACATCCTGTACATATTCTCGCCTGTGTTCCATTATTCACAACTCAGGAACCACATACAAATGTCCCCATACACATCAGCAATGACAAACACCACCACATACAAATTTCCCCATACAATGACAGACACCTTAACTGGAAACACATCTGATTGCTGGAATGTCAAAATTCAAATAGCGAAAAGGCGGGCGAAATACCCGTGCGAGAAAGGAAGCAGACATCAACACGAATATCCCGCAAATCGACCCATCAACCTCCATTAAGGAGCACTTGAGGAAGTTACGCAAATAAAGTGACACCTAATATCTGAAGAAGAGCAATATACAAGAATTTTCAAACAGCACCAGGGATTAGGATCCTATAGGCCGGATACATCCGCTGCACAATCCCGACCTAGAGAACTGGCCACACATACTCAAACTTGTCCTACATAGCAGATGATCGACGCCATCTTGCATGTGATTGCTGGAATGTCACAATTTGAAAAGCGGAAAGGCGGCACAAACCCCGGACGAGAAAGGAAGCGAACATCAACATGAATACCCCACAACTCGATCCATCAACCTGCCTAGGCACTCCCTTAACGAGCACTTCAAATCTCATGTTATTGTACCTTTCAGGCAACCCTCGTACCTTTGCCTCTTTATTCAGATAGTCCACAACCGCCTTAAATGCACTAGAAGCGAATGACGCGTCACATACCGGGTTATAAAACGAGTTGACGAAGTCTACAACGTGCTCTCTGAAATCTACTGAAAGAAGGACCCAGTGTTCGCAATCCTTGTGAATGGGGATGAGTAATATATCGTACTCGAAAAGRAGGACATTTTGCRWCCACCTGCTGAYCCCTCTAAAACCTTGCGACTGCAACTTCGTAAAGARAAAGGAGAGGAAGTTGTACACTTTGAACGGAGATCGACGACAGTCCCTCGTGAGGAGAGCCAAGTAAAAATTAACGACCTCGTCGTTAAGCTCGCCGCCTCTATCCAATAATGTCACCATRTCKTTTACCCTAATCACCAAGTTCTCGGCYGKGAGGCGAGCAATAACCATCACCGGCGCTAGGCAAYACCGAACAAGCTTGTCCATCAACTTGGACGATTCTTCCTTATTTCCTCCGACGCCTGACATGCATACGTCTGCTGCACAGTCCAACCAAGCAACACGCATGAGCATGAGAAGGATGACACCCTAACTGTCCGAGTCGTTCTGTTCTTTGCTTTGCGCTTTAAAAGTATTATAAATCTGCACCCCTCTACTTGTAGTTCTAGAAAAGTATGGCGCGGGTACAGGAAGCGGAGAAATGGCGCACTTCTTGCAAACTTTGATGTGCAACTTCTCAAATGCGTCAGAACTCATACCCGCAGGTTCTACAATCTGAATATCCCTTCTCGACAATCGCGGCATATTCGTCTTTSTRAGAGACTMCTCCRAGTTTCTSCGCACGACWCATGAAGGAGATGGCCGACYTGTACAACAAGTGAAGAAAAGGWGATTRTGAATATAACACATCGCCRCACTGCACAACCAAGGGGCAACCAGCAATTACCCACATATCCAAACATATCGCCGCCCGCCACATCGAAAAGTAAACTCCTGGTGCTCATACAAAAGTTGGACCCAAACGTGAGCAACTCATGTCACTGATTAAACTCCAACTGCTCATACACTACACAGACCCAAATGTGAGCAACACATGTCACTGCTTACCAGCCACGGCTTCGTGTCGAAGATGTTCCTTCTCGTCTAAACCTTTCGATTGTGGCAAGTCTTTTCCTAGACATGTCGCGCTTAGACCCAGCACGAACTCTTCARTCTRARYCGATGCCATAATGYCATCTAACYGGGATGGAAACCGGGACAGGTCCTTAATGTCTGCGTCGACGAGGCAAACAACTTTTYCCGGAGCACCGGGGCASAACTCTACARGACGACCAGCTGTCCCGCCACTCCCACGGATGGTTAGAACTTCATCTTGAGGAGTCAATAATTGTGAAGAGGGAGAGATGACAACGGGGGAATCGAATTCGCGGAAAAGTGTCTTGACAAGATCATCTTCGATCGGACGACAGACTACAACCTCATCCCCTTCCAGCATGGTGACGTCTTCATCCTCGTTGCACTGGTCCGACACGACTATAGCCGTAATGATTTTTGAGGGCCGCATGCCAGGCAACCTTGAACATAACTGCGAGACATACCCGCCCTGGGAACCGCCACAATGTGCATCACGAGGTGGAGTCTCCTGGTCTTCCACACCCAGGGCAGGGGTGTTATCCGTGCTGCGTGGCTGCTGCTCCGTCGGTGGTGGAGTTTGCTCTGCACCGACACGCAGGCTTCGACGGCGGATACATCCGGTGCCGGCAAAAGAACCGCCATCACGCACCCCGGGCCCCTTCTGCCCGTCCGCAGGTTTCTCCGAGGCAATCGTCAGCGAGACATGCCCGCCCTCAGGACCACCATAATGTGTGTCGAAGGGTGCACCCTCCTGGTCTTCCATACCCAGGGCAAGCATGTCGTCGGTGCTGCTGAGTTGATGCGCCGGTGGTGGAGTCTGCTGGTCTTCCATATTCAGGGCAAGGGTGTTATCCATGCTGCGTGTTTGCTGCGAAGTGTGTCTGACAACAAAGTCCTCCTTCCGCTCTGCATTGTCACGGAGGCTTGGACGGCAGATACATCCGGCGCCGGCAAAAGAACCGCCATCACGCAGCCCGCGCTCCTTGTGCCCTTCGAATCCCATCTGGGGGAAGTATGACCCGCCTGCAGGTTTCTCCGCGGCATCCGTCAGTGAGACATGCCCGCCCTCTGAACCACCATAATGCGTGTCAAAGGGTGCAGTTTCCTGGTCTTCCGTACCCAGCGCAAGGGTGTCGTCGGTGCTGCTGAGTTGACGCGCCGAGGAGCGGATATGTCCGCCACCGGCTGAAAAGCTTCAGGCAACTAAGTCCTCTGTCTACTCCACACTGACGCGCTCGCACGCATGGCGGATACATCCGGTGCCGGCAGAAAAAATTCCAACCCGCAGCCCTCGCCCCTTATCCACCTCAGACCCCGTTGCACAAGGACTCGCAAGAGAATCTGTCCTTTCGGTGGAGTATGACCCTCCTACAGGTTTCTCCACCACATTCTCTCAGTCTAGGAGAGTGGCATCCGTAACAACTTCGCACTCCCGAGTGTCGCGTCCTAGATCCTTAGTGGAAGCCACGTCGACCGACTCCGCATCTTCCATGAAATTGGATCCGGCAGAAACTGTACCGCGGATACATCCGCTGCCTGGAAATGCGTGTTGTCCTTGGCCAACAAGTTCATAAGCTTGCAGCGCATGCATCGGCGGTGGAGATTCCACCTGCGGTGATCCCTACCCAGTTTGTGAGCTCGCACCTTCTGCCGAAGCCATGCCACCCATTCCGCCTGCGATTGTGACCCCTCCCGCGCTCGTAATATTTCCGCGTTGTGCGCCGCCCCCTCTATTGTCACTTGCTCCACCATGTCCACCGTGACCGCCGGCGCGGGTTCTGTCCTCACCTCCTCCGTCCCCTCCTTCGTCATCTCCTCCACGTCCGCCCCGTCCAGCTCCCTCTCCTCGTGTTGGGGCAGGAGGCGGAATATGCCAGTCAATGTTAGCCTCATAACTTGGACTTGTTTCGAGGTAATAAAAGTCACGACACAACTCCAACATGTTGTGTTCCCGAAGAATCTCATATGTCTGCTCTCCGAACACTTTGACGACAAACTCATCTGGTTGACGACAGTTTACCTCCGCGACGTGGTCGATAACCGCTTGGAGGGCGGCCTCTTCAAACACCTTTTTTGACGAATGGGGTTCTGATTTCCATTCGCCCTTATCATTGAACGCCATAACCCATTCGCTATCAATAACTGCTGGTTGGAACACATCTGGATGCCAAACTATATGATGACCCCAATCAGACTCGTCGGTGCTCCTGTGCGTTTTCCCGAAGAAATAGAGTTGACCTTTCTGCAATCTCAACGTGTGCGTCAGCGGAAGAGGACGTCCAGGCTTGACAATGGGGCTTAGAGCTTTGCTTCTCATAGAGGAAAGAAATCCTCTTGAAGAACCCGAGGTTGGCCTTGCGACAGGAGTGACGACAATGGAGTGACGACAGGTAAACACGCAGCGTGCTTGGAACTGGAAGGCGTTGAAGAGGACGCCATACCTGCAGTATATTTGTGATATATCGTCTCTAAATCCAACGGCTCCTCACCTTCGCTGACTTCTTCCTCGTCGTTTGCGTTGAAATTGTCCTCTTTGGTGAACTGAGCCTTGTAATAATTTAACGTGAGTTCCATCTTGCCATTGTCGAAATAGCGTTCCTCAAGTTTCTCCACGAAGTTGGCCGCAGCCTCCCTAGAAGCACCATGGTAGCCATCCAATGCCCCGATCACGACATCTCGTCGGCACTTGTGGTCGTCCTCGAATCTTAGTTTGGGTCGTGTGTCGAGGAAAAGAAACTTGTATACACTCGCCCTTTTCTCAGCTGATAGCTTGAACCACATATTCCTGTCTGGATCATGGTCGACCTCTTTCTGCACCTGGTAGAATTCACAGTTGTCCACACCCGTATGCACCTCATGCGCAACATATGTCATCAAAAAGTTGAGGAGCTTTGTGTCTCCCTCGATGGCCACAACATGACGCCCGCTCTTGAGGACTTGCCACACAACCTGGGCGTGTGCTTTGCCGATGAACATAACTCCATTTTCGATTGGGCAGAAGAACTCTATCTGACCCAATAGCATAACTGGGTGGCGCTCCATTTCCTTATAGACAAACCCCTTTAGGTGGTGCACGCCTGCCAATGCATACGTCGTGGCCGTGAACTGTGTTTCGGCAATGTCCGAGGGTGTGCACTTCTGCCTTTTCCCAAGAGCTGCAGCGTCATCGTCCGACAATCGCCCCTCATATGTCGGTGGGGTGTTAAGCTTCAGATCATCCCCATGGAAAAGAACATACATCTTGTCCTCCTCGGCCCACACACTGTTCCCGATTTGGTAGTGCTTCTTAACTTGACTCCTCCGAACCCATTTTCCTGCACAACCATTCGTGACAGGAAGAATGTGCAGAAGATCCATGAAGGAGAGGTCCCATTGCCTGGGAACGAAAGCAATCAGAGTTCGAAAATCAGGACACACAGCTTCAAGGAATGCCGCCAATGACCGGAAAGCCTCCTCATTCCAACGTGCTCGGTCAACGGGATCGCAGAAGTCAATGATGCAAGTGTGGCATCGCAGCTGCGTCACAACTTTCCTTATCTCATCCTTTCTCAAGAAAGCCGTGAAGGCGTCGTAAGCAAATGGTGCGAGGGTTGTCACTTGACTGGTGTGCTTCCATTTGACATTGGTGCATTCTCCCAGTGCTTGCGGCCCCTCTTGTGTCTTGCTACGTTCGCCTTTCAGCACGGACAGCACGAGAAACTTCTCGCGATTGACCAACTTCATCGTCGCCGCCACGTCCTTATCACTCGGACAGCTGAGACACTGGGGGCATTGCTTGAGGTACGAGTGATCTGTGACCCATTTCCTATAGCCCGCCCACAATTTCTCGTCCAGTTCCTTGGAGGCGTACTCTGCCATCAATTGCTCCTTCGTCCGGAAAAAGGAGTCATTCCAATCATCGTTGTCGCGGCCCTCGTGCTAGAATTGCACAATATGCCACAACCGGAGCAACATCCGATCTTGCTTGACCATTTCACAAGCATCCTTCATCCCAACCTTCCCCTGCTCAATCAACTTTTTGCTTCCTGTCTGCACCCAGACAATGTCCAGGTCTAGTAACCCTCACAGGATCCGACGTTTCTCCGCATCTGTGAAATCCCCCAAGTCTTTCCAAGCATGCACATCGGGTTCATTCACTTGCATGAAAAAGTCGCGCTCCTCCTGTTTCCTTTTCTTCTTTCCTTTCCGCATCTCTGGATCAGTCACATGCACATTATACACAACTCTCTTATGGCCACTGGTGTCCTCCGCAAATGATTGACCCTCACGGGTGACTCTCGGGTCCGCTGTTGGAGGCTTCTTCGTCCACACAGCGCCATCAGGGGCGAGCAGATGGCCCTTCTCCCACTCGTCGTAGAACTTCATGCCAAGCTTCCACGTTTCGTCGTCCGTCATGACCAAAGGCAAGTAGTACCTCAGTTTCTCCGTCCATTCCTTTTTCTTCGATTTCTCATCAGCCAACCTCCAAAGGTTGAAGTAAGGCGTTTTCCTCAAGGCAACTTTCTGAAATTCTTCGTATTTGGCGACCAAATCCTTCTTGAACTTTATATTGCTGGTGACTGCACGAGGACACTTCAAGTTATTCCACTCCTGACGAATGTCTGCCATTGACAATCGTTGAGCCCGAGGAGGGGCTAACTTGTCCTTCCTATTCTCGTTCACGCTTATCTGCGTATAACCGTCGAAGTCCTCCTCGGTGAAGTACAACGGCTTGAAGGGCCAGTCGGAGAAGGTATGCTTCTCCCAAATCTCGTGGTTTCTCAACTCCAGCGCAGCCTTGACATTGTGCTGCCCGCTCACAGCATAGTACCAGTGCTCGTTCGGGTTCCCCACATTGAATTTGTTCGGGGTCACCCGAACAGCCTTCCGTCCGAGGCTAGGAAGCCCTACGATTGGTGCCAATTTCAAAATTGGTTTCTCGTACGTCTTTCCTTTCTTCTTGAAGGCATCCATCATACACCGCAATATATATGTCGTGTGGGTTGGGTCGATCGAACGATGATTGTACGACCTTTCCCACGCCGGCAACTCCAAGACCCTCTCCGGGTTGATAGAAAGAGTGACATCTTTCTTTACACCCTCTTTCCATTCCAGAAAGTACCCGGCGTCCAGTTCGACAACCTTCTCCTTGTCGTCCTCACTGTCGTTTTCATCTGCTCGTGCCCGCTTGCCTTTCGATGACCCCTCCCCCGTTCCACTTCCCCGTCTCGCCTTCGGTGTTTCCGGGGTCCTCCCTCCCGACTTCCTTTTCTTGTCAGATGTCTGGCGAGGGGAGCTTGTTTTCCTTTTCTTCTTGTCCGATTGTAAGGCCTGTCTGTGTTCGTCTCCATCCCCCTCGCTGCCAGATTCTTCTCCGCTTCTCTTTTCTCCCACCGCAACAGGTCTTTTACCCATGTCCCTTGGCTGCTCTGCAACCTCATGATCTCCTCCCGATGTGCTAACTCCAGTCGTCTTCGCCCCAGTCGACGGCTCATTCGTAGCACTCACTGGACCCTGAGCCACATCGGCGACCGCCCCCTCCGCATGTCTGCGTTCGACAGCTTCACCTTCCGGCTCGGATTCTTCATAAGCACCTGAGGGCTCTGGCTGCTCAGGAACGTAGCTAGGGTCAAGCACTCCAGTCGCACCCTCTTTAGCAACAACAGTCGACATTTCTGAAGTTCGCGTGCGGTCCTCGTCATCGCCAACGTACGAGATCAACATTGAAATACGATGCTCTTGCGGCACATCTAAACACCTGGTTGGCGGCACCACTCTCTCCCACTCATCAAAGAAGACCCGCAATAGAACAGTTGGTTCTAAATCTGATGTTATGGTCGTGTAAAATGAAAGCATGGTGGCTTGTTTGCCGAAACCTCGGAACTTTTTCCAAGACAATCTGACACCATGGGCGTCATCGTCAGGACCACCGTCCTTCCCGTATGTCGTCTGAAGGGTGAAAGTACGAACTCCTTCCGAACAATCTTCCCACCCGCTCACGGCCCCGACGAGCCGAAAATTCTTATGATCTCTCACGAAGACGACTCCACCGCAAGGTGGACTCGTCAGCGCGGACTCGTCAGCAGAAACCCAATCAAGAAACCACTGCCGGTTGTCATACTTGTAGTACGAAGGATTTCTCTTCGTCCTGCCGCTGTGCCTGCCACCCGAAGAAGCTTGCTGACCGCGTTCCGCTACTGGAGCACCGCCAGAAGTCGAGGCCAGCCCACCACGATTTCCACCAGACTCCCGCCCTGCTCGCTCGGTAGCCATTCCTGCAGAGTCATGTCGTTCGCCAGCACCAGTGGACGCCATTTTATCTGCATTTGTCAAGCAAGAAAAAGAACACGCTACTCAGCATGATAGTAAACAGAACGACGTCGACGATGCCCATACTGAGCACATGGCAGTCCGAGGCGCTCGACAAGGGCAGAGTCTTCATCCTCAGTGGCGGATATATCCGCTATAAAAGGCAACAACCTGACTTTTACGATGCTAAACCTGAGCACATGGCATTTTGAAGCAGATGTATCCGTGACGGGGTCGACATTAAACGAGGTGCCGATGTATCCGCTGCATGGACAACGACGTCGAAGCACCACACGAGGACAGCGCAAGGTCTTGATCCTCAGCTGCGGATGTATCCGCCGCATGGATCGCGACACGACATAGACCCTGATGTCTGGGGCGGATGTATCCGCTGCATGGACCGCGAGCAACCGATGCCAAGATTGTGAAGGGCAAGGCCATCATCCTCAGCTGCGGATGTATCCGCTGTCGAATGAAGTGGCACTACTTCAATAATGGACACATCCGTCGCTGAGGATGTATCCACTGCCTGACCTCGAAGTACTGTTCGATCGCTCAGAGCAGGGTCCGATCCTCGGCGGCGGATGTATCCGCCAGAGGAGGAAGCGACGCTGTTCGGCACGGACAATGCTCATACTGAGCACATGGCGGTTCGGGGTCATCGTCCTCATGTCTGGGGCGGATGTATCCGCCGCATGGACAACGAGCAACCGTCGCCGTGCGCTTGTGAAGGGCAAGGTCATCATCCTCAGCCGCTCCAATTAGTTTTGCACCTTCAGCGGATGTATCCGCTATCGAATGAAGCAGCACGATTCCAATAAGGATGTATCCACTGCCCATCCTCGAAGTACTGTGCGATCGGTCAGGGTAGGGTCCTGTTCCTCAGCAGCGGATGTATCCGTTATTGACAATGCTCATACTAAGAACATTGCTGTTCGGGGTCATCTTCCTCATGTTTGGGGCGGATGTATCCGCCGCATGGACCGCGAGCAACCGGTGCCGCGCATCATCCTCAGCGGCGGATGTATCCGTTATCGAATGACGCAATTCGACATTGACAATTCTCGTACTGAGGACATGGCGGTTCGGGGTCATCGTCCTCATGTCTGGGGCAGATGTATCCGCCGCATGGACCGCGAGCAACAGTCACCGTGCGCTTGTTAAGGGCAAGGTCATCATCCTCAGCGGCGGATGTATCCACTATCAAAAGAGCAGCACGACGTCAATAACGGATACATCCGCCGCTGACGATGTGTCCACTACACGACCTCGAAGTACTGTGCGATCGGTCAGGGCATGGTCCTGATCCTCAGCGGCGGATGTATGCTATCTGCCGCGGGATTGATATCAAATGTGGAGCGGATGTATCCGCCGCATAGACGATGACCTCGAACTGCTGAGCGCTCATTAAAGACACGATCTTCATCCTCTGCGCCATTCCCATCTCGAGGCCGGTGCATACCCAGTGGAGAAAGGACATTGGCCTGAAACCTCATTTACCATAATCAACTTTCACGTATGTGTGGCGGATATATCCGCGACGCGGTAAGCGGGCGGAATCCTCTCAGAGGATATAGCAGCGCACAAAAGAGAGAAACCACACCCGTGCGTGTGGGGCGGATGTATCCGCCGCATGGACCACAAGCAACCTTTGTTGTGCGCTTGTGGAGGGCAAGGTCAGTGGCAGATGTATCCACTGTCGAATGAAGCAGCACGACTTCAATAACGGATACATCCGCCGTTGACGATGTATCCACTGAGCGACCTCGAAGTCATGTCGTTTACTCCTCTGGCTCAGGGTAGGGTCCTGATCCTCAGCGGCGGATGTATCCGCCAGAGGAGAATGCGGCACGACTTGCACCCTTCTCAAAATGAGGCCTGCTAGAAAATTATTTCGAATTTGACAATGCTATCTGCCGTGGATTGATATCAAATGTGAAGCGGATGTATCCGCCGCATGGACGATGACCTCGAACTGCTGTGCGCCCGTTAACCACAATCGATTTTCACGTATGTGTGGCGGATATATCCGCTACACGGTAAGCGGGCGGAAACCTCTCGGAGGATATAGCAGCGCACACAACAGAGAAACCACACCCGTGCACAAATTGCACATCCCGAGATCGTGTGGCGGTTGTAATCAACACAGAGGACGTTTCCTCCCCTGGCAACTAGCGCTCTGTGCCTTCGATGTCCACGTATGTATGGCGGATATATCTTCCGCAGGAAGTGAGCGAAAACACACCGGCCTCGAAACCTCATTAACCACCTCCGACGCCCGTGTTTGTTTGACGGATATATCCTCTGCACACCAAGTGGGCGGAGACCTATTAGAGGATATGCACATGTACTCTGTGAAGTTTTTCGTTGCTTGCTGTGTAGCGGATATATACGCCACACAGACATGGACGGCGAATGTTATTTTCTCCGTTACGTTTTTGCTATATTGCTTTATGGCGGATATATCCGCCAGACATACGTGGACATCAAGCGCGGGTATTGTGTCTGTGTTCTGCACTGATATATGCACTCTGTGAAGCTTGTCGTCCATTGCTGTGTAGAGGATATATCCACCACACAGACATGGACGTCGAATGTTATTTTCTCCGTTACGTTTTTGTTGCACTACTGTGAGGCGGATATATCCGCCACACAGACGTGGACATCAAGCGTGGGTGTTGTTTCTTTGTTTTGCACTCACAACAGATCATATCGGCGGAACATCTCAAAGGGTATAACGCCATACAGAACAGAGCAACCACACCCGTGCACAATTTACGCATCATGAGATCGTGTGGCAGTTGTAATCGACACAGAGGATGTTTTCCCCCTGTTAACCAGCGCTCTGCGCCTTCGGTGTCCACGTATGTGTGAAGTACATATCCACCACAGCAACTGAGCGAAAACACACCGGCCGCGAAACCTCATTAACCACCTTCGACGTCCGTGTTTGTGTGCCAGATATATCCTCTGCACACCGAGCGGGCGGAGACCTCCTAGAGCATGCATCACCTGTGCTTAATGTCCATGTCTGTGCGGCGTACATAACAGAGAAACAACACCGCGTTTGATGTCCACTTCTGTGTGGCGGATATATCTGCCATACAGTAGTTGAGCAAAAACCTCATGGGAGAAACAATATCCGACGTCCATGTCTGTGTGGCGGATACATCCGCTACCCAGCAAGCAACCGAAAACTTCAAAGATTTGATATATATGCCCGTGAATAACAGAGAAACCACCCATGCACCCACCATTCATACCCTGTAACGTCACAAAAATGTGTGGTGTTGTAAACGACACAAAGGGTATTTTCCCTTTTCATGGAAGTTGGTCTTCAATTGAAGGTAACTTTGTCTTACGAAACCCGTTTGGAAAAGCAAAGCAAAGTTGTACGAAAAACAGTTGCTGGAAAGGAAAACCGCTCAAACAACAGATTGTCCTCTCCCATTGGCAAATAACGCTCCACGCTTGATGTCCACGTCTGTGTGGCGGATATATCCACCGCACGGTGTCTCAGCAAAAACCTAATGGAGAAAAACGTTCACGTATGTGTGGCGGATATATCCGCCATACATAAAGCGGACGAAAACCCCTCGTGCGGTATGAATCCTCGTGCAAAGCAGAGAAACCGAACCCATGCACGATTCATGTCGTGTACAATCACGAAATTATGTGTTGTTTGTAAACGACACAGAGGATGGTTTTCCCGCTGCCATCCGGCGTCTGTGTGGCGGATTTATCTTCTGTACGGTAAGGAGAAGTGTCCCGGGCAAAAGTTGAGCTAAATCTTGTTCCTAATAATTCGTGTGACTAACAAAAGCACAAGTTTGATGTGCTACTGAAACCAGTTCGATGCACAACAAGAAGGGGGTTGAATGCACAACTAGAGGGGTTTGATGCACGACAAAATGCGGTTTGTATGCACAAGCAGAGAGGTTTTGGTAAGGGGTTTCGATACACAACATCATGGGTTCGATGCACAACAAGAGTGTTCGATGCGCAACAAGAGGGGTTCGACGTACAATAGGAGACGTTCAATACACAACAAGAGGGTTTCGATCTTCTACAAGATGGGGTCCAAAAGTTCCATGCGTGTCAATATCGGATATGTTGGAAGGCACAACAGAACGTGTGATGATGACGTCAGCGTACCTTGCTGCTGATCGAATGGCTGCCTCCCTCGTTTAGCGACGGTTCTCAACAACCCGTGATCCGCTGTGCTCGACAGGCCTTAATGATGACGGGTACGCACGCGCACGCCCAAAAACCCACGTGGCGATGGTTGGAGACCTCGAACAGGATCGCGATCGTCGTTCAGGAAGATGGCGGAGGATGGGGCAGCATGGAGATGGAAGAGCAAAAAGAAGGATTACAGTCGATGAAGATGGCTAACAACGACATGAAGGAGCGTGAAAAAAGAGATGGCGATCGGGACAGGGATGGCGGGGGAACGTAGATGGGGATCGGGACAGAGATGGATGAAGAACCAAAATGGCGATCGGGATAGAGATGGCGGGAGAACAAGATGGCGACGGGACAGAGAGGGCGGGAGAACGACGATGGCGATCGGGACAGAGATGGCGCGTGGAAGATGATGGCGCGTGAAAGATGATGGCGCGAGAGGACGATGGCGCGAGGAAGATGATGGCGCGAGGAAGATGATGGCGCGAGGAAGATGATGGCGCAAGAAAGATGATGGCGCGAGGAAGATGATGGCGCGAGGAAGATGATGGCGCGAGTAAGATGATAGCGCGAGGAAGATGATGCCGTGCGAGGAAGATGATGGCGCGAGGAAAATGAAAGATGATGGCGATCGGGACAGAGATGGCGCGAGGAAGATGATGGCGCGAGGAAGAGGAAGGCGGGAGGAAGCTGAAGTTGGCCAAGGAAGACGAAGGCGGGAGGAAGACGAAGGCGGGAAGACGAAGGCGGAAGGAAGATGAAGGCGGGAGGAAGACGATGCACAACAAGGAAGACGAAGGCGGGAAGACGAAGGTGGGAGGAAGACGATGGCGCGAGGAAGACGAAGGCGGGAAGACGAAGGCGCGAGGAAGACGAAGGCGCGAGGAAGACGGTGGCGCGAGGAAGACGAAGGCGCGAGGAAGACGAAGGCAGGAGGAAGCTGAAGACGCAAAAAAGCTGATGGCGCGAGTAAGATGATGGGGCGAGAGCGCTACTAAGAGGATTGCGCGAGGAAGATGATGGCGGGCGGGATGGGACAAAGACGACACGGGGGCAGGCGGTACGAATGACGATGGCGGCCGGGATGGAGAAGGTCCACGAAGATGGCGGCAGCGTGAGAGGAGAAGCTGAGCAAGGCGTTGTGCACCGACCTTGAAAAGTCGCGAACGGTAGCCCTGGTCTCCGCCGCGTCAACAAAACGCTGAAGTGTGTTCCAAGAAGTCATATGCCGCCAAGAGAAGGCGGGAACGCTTCAAATTTTTGGCGCCGACCTGAAATTTTCTGAAACGCCAAAAGGTCCACCAACTTTTCGAAGGGTCTGGCCTGCCTTCAGCCCTGCGCGTGTCGGCCTCCGAAATCGGGTGGCGCTCGACCAAAATGGTTCATCCGACGGTCGAGACGCAACGGCACGCCATTAGCCGGGAGCAGGTAAATGGTCCTCCAAACGACAGCCCGTTTGGAGTTTTTGTTCATCGCGCGGTGCGCGTTGGCCATCTGCCCATTCGACGGTCAGGATTCTCGCCATTTCCGTCCGGGGTGCCTGGATCGCACATGCCCGGTCTGTATCGCTCGTCGATGTCATTCTGCGATCACGATAGAGGGAGCTCGTCGCCGATCACGATCTTTGATGCAGCGTACTCGCTCAAAACCGACGACAACTCCGACATCGCCACGCCAAGGTGAGAAACGGACCTTCTATCTGCGCCAACGGCCTTGTTGTGTCCGTCTGCGAAGAAACCACACATGTCCGAAGTGAAACTGGGATGACGTCAACGATTCTCTGGATGGCGTCAGTCCTCTCGTCTCCACGCATTGCCTCTTGCGAACGCCATGAACATAGACGTTGGTGAGACAAAACTTAAGACTACCACAAAAATGAAACTGCGGAAGTCGATGGAGAGAAACTGCACACAATGACGTCAACGACTCTCGGACTGACGCCACCCACCACGTCTCGACAAGGCCCTTACAGACTGACGCCGCCGACCATCATCCCCTTAATGGGACGCCCAACAACCACAACAAGAACGAACACCACGCATCGCTAATTACAACATCCCGGTCGTTCTTGCCGACGAGCTGCAGCCATTCGCCTCCTCCCTGTACATGGACCAATCGAAAGCCACATCCTTAGACCTGTCAGTCATCAGCGTGGACTCCATCCTCGTATCTGATCGAACACCACTTCCCTATGACATGGACTAATCGAACACCACCTCCCTGAACCAGTTCCACAACGTGGACTCCGTCCTCGTCCCTTATCGAACACCACCTTCCTCGTATCTTATCGAACACCACCACCACCTCCCTGGACAAGGACCAATTGAACTCCACCTCCTTGAACCACTTCCACACCGTAGACTCCATCCTCGTGCCTTATCGTACACCACCCCCCTCGCGACTTATGACCCCATCCTCGTGCCTTATCAAACACCACCTCCCTCGTACCTTATGACTCCATCCTCGTGCCTTATCGAACACCACCTCCCTCGTACCTTCACTTCCACACCGTGGACACCATCCT